GAGTTTTATGGAGAAGTCAGCTGAAAGGAAATAAATACAAATTTTACTGGCCAGGGAGTGCAACTGGAAGTGAAACAGTGAAAGTTGCAATTGTTTGCAATTCCCTGAAATGTTAGCATTACATGGATTATCTACTGAGCATGCAAAAGACTGGTCAGGAAAAGTTGATCCCTTGAAATGTTTGATGAGGATTATATTGCTTCTATAATTACTCACCATGTGATGCTTATTGCTGTACGTAACTCCTGTTTTCCTATGGTGGTAAAAGTTTGTCAGGGCAAAAGTTTTTATCCCTGCAGAATGTGTGATGCTGAGGTGCAGTGAGGGTCCTTCAGCAAACTGTCTTGCTCTTTCTCATCCCGAATCAAGTAGCCATCCTAAGTTTAGACCAGTGTTCTGTGGAAGAAATCAGGCCCCTTTATAATGACAGAACTATTAAATGAAAAACTGGGGGAAATTGTAGAAGAAAAAGTAGTGTGAGGGTCATTGGAAAGGTTGCTTATGTCTGATGTCTGCCCTGACTGTATAAAGTTAAAGCACCAGGAATTCTTCACAGCCTCCCTCTTTCTTTCAGACTTGTCTTTGGTCAGCCCTAAATTCTTAAAATTCCAGCATCTGACAGAGTGAGTTTGAGGGCAGCTCTCCCTGCTGCCCTTGCAGAGCAGGCTGTGTGCTCAGGAAGGGCACTGGCTCTGTGGAGAGGCTTGTTTCCAACTGCAAATCCCATGGGATTGTCAGTGCACGGGATCGTTTGGGCTGTGCCCTCACAGACACTCCAGTTATCGACTTGGCTTTGCTTCTCTCCCCTCTCTCCCTTGACCTCTTTGAATTTGAATTTGTGTCTAAGGTAGTAATTATATTTATGGTTCCTTGTCTGTCGGCAAACAGAGCTGAACTGAGGGGAAACAGGAGGTTTATCAGTCAGATTCCCAAAGAGAGAAGTAAATAGGTGCAGCTTTGAAGAAGAAAATGGGGCTGAGTGGGGAGGTAAAACAGATCTATAGTAAAGAGCTGCTTGTGCTAAAATTCCCCTATGTTAGGAAGTGGCTGCAGTTACATACTAAGGGGCAGGGGCAGACTCTTTGCTTGGAAAACGCCTGGCATAATTTAGGCATTACCACAGTCTAAATAACATGTCCAAAAATACTTAGGTGGAAGTAGGCACCTGACAAGGAAGGACTGAGCCTGAGCAATTACTTGGGCAGAGCTATGAACAGCAGGGAGTGGGATCTTAACCTGGAAAGCAGTGGGCTGCTGGAACAAGAGCTATTTGTGCCAGCAGTGCCTGGAGGGGTGAGAGAGAGGGTAACTTAAGGCCCATTATGATTGTTGTTCATTACATGACTGATCCCACAGCCACTGTCCTTTTATTTATTGAACTGAACTGACAAAACAGCACTTCAGATGTTCTTTGTTCCCTATTCAGTTGCTGTTGCTTGCCTTGGTTATCACGGCAAGTGGAAAGTTTAGAGGAAATCTACTTTGTCTTCAGAGTTTTCACTGCCTCTTTTAAAAACCATGTCTAGAGTGAACATGCTCCCACAGCAAGAAAATAATTTCTCCTTGCAAATAGGGAAACTGAGATGGAGATGTGCTGCCAGAGGGGTCTCAGTATTGGTTGCAAGGTTTTGTTCCCTCATCTGGTGCCGACTCTTCCAGGCACCTCCATCCTCTGCTGGGGTCTGAGCGTTCACTTCTGTGTGCATGGATGGTGTGTAGGCAGCACATCCCAGAGTATCCCAGGTTGGGTACTGGAAAATGAGCAGTTTGTGGCCTTCAGGAGCAAGCAAGGAAATGGTGACTGAGGAGGAGTTTCAGTTGTGGCACTGACCTGCTCTGATTTTGTGTTTCAACCTCTGCAGCAAACTGGGAGACAGCCTAGAAAATCAAAACAACCTCCCCCCTGTTTTCTACACCATTTTGAGAAAGAGGCATCAGCTGTTGGGCCTGTTGGAAGTTGTGAACAGGATCTCTAGCTGTTGTGTGGTTCCTCACTGAGGAATTTACTGCTTGTTTTCCTGGGGTCATTATTGTCAGGGTGTGGTGAATTCAGTCAGTCTTCAGGAGGGCAGCAAGGCCTGATCTAACCACAGCATTCCAGCAGAGCAGGCACCCTGTGCTGAGGATGTGTGGGGAATGAATGACACCCTCCAGACCTGTGGTGACACCTGGCTGCAATGCAGGCTCCCATGGGGATGCTTTTCAGCTCGGTCCTGATTTTGGAGGGGGCTTTCCTCAACTGCCTGTGTGTGAGAGAAGTTCGAAAAAGTGAGTTGGGGAGTTTGTACACTGTGGGGTATGAGGCTGGTTTTGTGTGGAGGATTCAGAAGCTCATGAGTTTAGCTTTTCAAACAAGACAAGAGAACACTGAACTTCAGTAAGGTGCAGTACTTTCAAATCAACACAAGATTTGGTGATGTCTGTTAAATCCCACAGGCAGTTGAACATCCTTGTTCTCTCCTGACAGAATGCATTTAAACCACAAACATGTCTCTGCTCCCTTGTTAACAGAGCACACTCTTCTCAGCATCTGTGTGAAGTGGTACCAGCTTTATCAACTTCATTACAAATCAAGTCCTGAGTAATTAGAGGACAGGTGGAAATAGGAGAAACAACTTGACTTTCACATTATTCTGAAAATATGCTCTGCATTACAAGAAATGGCAAATCTGTGCAGATTGGAGCCAGAATGAACAGTTTTTGTCTCATGCTGGGTGAGGAAGGATTTAAGGCTAAATTTTTTATGGAATAATTGATGGAAAACCATAAATGAATAATATGGCAGCTTTTTATGAGCCCTATGGTTTCTTTGCCACATTTCCCTGCAGAAACTCTGTAGCTAGAAGGGTTTGTAGAAAGCCCAGTGTAGCTCTGTTGACAAGGGCAGTGTAGGATGGGCTTCACTGTGCTAATAGTGGATTTTGTGTTGCTGTGGTTAATGATAGGGGGGCTTCGTACCAGAGTGAAATAAATGCCAGATTTATTAACCCATGGTGGGTTATCTTGATTTAGGTTCATCACACAGACCTTTATCTCATTTCCCAGTGTCCCTGCTATCCCAAAGTGTCAGTGTCCTTCCAGCTGTTGTCTTGCAGCTGATGTAGAGCCTACAATCTTGCTTCTGTTGCATGTGTGGTTTTTTTTTCCAATTCAGTAGTACCAGGAATTTCTTCATAATATTTAATAGGGCTTTCATAATATTTAATAGGCCTTTTGCATACAACTTTGTATGTAGTATCTGTGGAAATAAAGAATGTTCATGTTATTCCAGGGCTGGGCTTAGGGAGTGGGCTGAGCACAGCTGCCCATGTTTAGTTCTGTGCTCTGAAGTGTGGATCCTGTCCAGTCAGTACAACTGTTTGCTATTGGGTTTCGATGTACAGGTGCAACTGCACTTGGCACAATGTAGGAAATCTTTATTGGGCCAAGAGGTAGAACAGAGGCAAAGAAACCTCACAATGCAAACTCTTAGAGTTGCTTCTGTAAACATAAGCAAGAGCTTTGTTAATGACTGTATTTTATTGTCAGAACTCCAGAAGGCTTTTCCTTCCAAAAAGTATCTAAGGTTACTGCTTCCCATTTGCCACCAAATGGAAAATCCAGTGTAGAGAGTGCTGTTTAGAGGACATGAATTTATATGTTCCTCACAGCAGCTCCTATACAACTCTTAAAACAAATGTTGGAGTGGGGTTTTGATGCTGTGATGTCACCTTTGGGGTCCTGTGTCATACTCGTTTCCCTGCCCTCTAAACATTCAGGGTTAACTTGCTCCATGGAAGAGGAGAAAGCCCTTTGCTGAACACCAACTTAAAGTAAGAGGGAACAAACACAGTGTTTCAGAGTTTTCTTGTGTTAAGGTATTCTTCGTTGGAATGGTCTGTGAATTAAAATGAGTATTTTTTCTTTAAAAACTTCCTTCTAGGAATTATTCCTTCTATGTGCTTGACAACCACAATCTTCAGCAGCTGTGGGACTGGAACCATCATAACTTGACAATCAGTGAGGGGAAAATGTACTTTGCATTTAATCCTAAACTGTGTGTTTCTGAGATTTACCGAATGGAGGAAGTTTCAGGAACCAAGGGACGACAGAGCAAAGGAGATATAAATCCAAGGAACAATGGGGAGAGAGCCTCTTGTAAGTAAACAAACAAAAAAATCTCAATGCCAACTGCACAGGAGGGCGTCACAAGAACAAACCCAACACGCTGACATGCTGCTGACCATTGCAATATTTAGAGTTTAGGATTTGCAGGAGCCTTTCAGCTCTTCTGGTTGTTCAGGCTTTACACTGTAGCTGTGAAGGTACCTTTGCATGAGTGGAAAATGATGTGGTTACAGAGTTCCCATCTCATCTGTAAAACCCACTTGTAGAAGATGATTTCTTCCCAAATCCCCTGTTTTGTGACAGCAGCAGCAGCAGATAACAATAGGAGCATACCTGGGAAATGAGAAATGAAATCCAGTAGTTTGTTGTATCCAACAAGGAGCAATTTCTCAGTCTCCTTTGTATCTGTGCATCATTATAGGTGTGTTCCTCTCTCTGGTACTTACTCTTTCTTGATACTAAGGAAGCTGCTGAGTAAGAATTCCACAGACACCAACACAAATTGTTTCTGTTACTTTCAGCTTCATTTAAGCTCCTGTAAATATTCTACCTGGTAACAAGCTAGAAATGTTTGTTTCAAACTTAGTTTGCTCTGCTTCATTTTCAAATTACTTGCTTTTGAATTGAGAACACTTTTTAATGCTCTGCACCATTTCTAAGCCTGAGGGTCTCTGCATTTAATTTTGGATTCTGCAATGGTCAGAGTTATTGGAAAGTCCTCTCTTGGCTTTGGTGATCTGCACATCAGGTCACCAGGTGTAACAGCATGTTTAAAAGCAATCTCTCTTCTAGGAATTAAGAATGCCTACAAGTTTCACCTCAAACCCTTAAAACTGATAATGCGCTTTTCCCTTGGTCGGATTGTGGTGTTTTTGGAGCTGAGTAAACTAAAATGGATCTTGTGTATAAGTCAGGTCCCCTTGTTGTGGATGGTGCTTACAAAACTAGGACACGTAGTCTGCTGAATGTCTCTTTGGGCACGATGCAGACACGCAGATGGCCCAGATCCTTGTTGTAAGCAGCCTCCATTCTTTGCACATTGAATAGAGCAAAGCCTTGCAGCCCTGGAGGAGTTACAGACACACAGCCAGGCCTTACTACCACTGAGGCCAGTGCCAGCCGCTGCCTGCTTTTTTAAGAAACCAATACAGAAAGCTTTCTGACTCTGAGAAGGGCAAAAGAATCAACAAAAGCTCAACTGCCTTTGCAAAGATAGCACCAACGGTGCCAGTGTACACGAGGGTGAAAACCTCTTTATTTTCAGAGCTTCTGTGGAACATTAGAAACTAGCTCACAGTTGACAGAACACAATTTCTTCATCCAAGAATTAAGTTTTTAAAATGCTATTTTGTTTTGGGTTGGAAACTCAGTGAGTTGGTAGTGGGAAGCCATTCATTTCAAGCTATGGGCTTCCATCCAGGTCTGTTCAGAAGAGTAGCTGGAAGCTGCTGCCATCAAATGGTTGTGCTGTATATGAACTGAGTTTTGGAGTTCTTGGTCCAGCCTCTGATGAATAGGAATGTAAACTCCTTTGTCTTTTTCATGTTGTTCAGTCTCCAGAAAAACAAATGGTAGTTGTCAAAAGTTGTCCTGGAGAGTGAGCGCACAGAGGCCGGTGACTGCTCCGCGCGTGCTTTGGAGCTGGATGATGAATTTAGTGCTTCCAAACCAGTCCTGTGGATAAACAGCACTTCCATTCCTTGCTCAGGGAGAGTCTGAAGTAGTTTTCAAGAGCTTTCTGATGATGCATTAAAAGAAAATCTGCTTCAGAAAAATTAATAACAAGTGGCTCAAGCGTGTTTTAAACTGATTGCCAAGGTCACTGCTTACCCTTAAAGCACTTAAATGTAGTAGGAGGAAAGAGGAAGCTCTACAGAGAAAAAGGCTGTTGGTATCCTGTGGTGTTGTAGGTGCTACTGGAAAGGCTCATTAGCTAAAACTTACATCTAAGAAACAAAAAACACAGAGGGGTGATGTGATGCCAACTCTGGCATGTCCTGTCCTTTTGTATTGCAGGTGAAAGCAAAATTCTGCATTTTGTTTCCAACACGACACTCAAGAATCGGATTAAACTGACATGGGAGCGGTATCGCCCTCCAGATTACAGAGACCTCATTAGTTTCACTGTTTACTACAAAGAGGCGTAAGTAGATGTTGTCAGAGATTAACCAGGGCAGTCCAAGGGGGAGCAGATGATTCTGTTTCTACTGTGTAATGTCTCATCCAGTTTGAGTATTTCATCCTTAAGTCCTGCTTTTGTTCTGATTCTTTTCTTGGTGGAGCAGAAGTCTCCTTTAAAAAAGAGGATTGGTTTGAATGAGTCCTACAAATGCATTGCAAATCCATCAGGAGGCTTCAGATTTGAAAAAAAAGAGAAAGGTGGATGGTTTGGCTCTTCTCAGGGGTCTGATTTGGAGCTCATCCTAAGTCATCATGTTTACGGAAATATTTTCTTTCTCGAGTAAAAGTACTGACTAGAGAGCATCTCAGGTCAGGAGTTTGCCCTGCCACCTGGATGACTTTTCTGCTCAGGGTTTGGGGTTATTTGGACTATCCAGCTTTGGTCATTTCCTGCATTAGTATCTCTTGATAATGAAGGTGTGGGGCAGTTACTGGAGAAATCCAAATTACTTGGGAGATGCCTCTGCCTTTGCATATCCTTGTAATGGCTGAGATTTAAAATAATAAAAAAAGCCAAACAAGCACAAAAATAATTCTCCAAGCAACCTGGAGGTGTGAAAGGGAGGTTTGGAATGCTGGTAATGATACATGGAGCAAAGATGTGAGACATGGAAGCACAAATGGTTCGTGTCCAGCATCACTTGAAAAAGAACATTGTGATGTTCTAGAATGAAGCCAGTGCTGGCAAGTGTACAGATGTTATAACAAGAGTTTGTATGCTCTTGCACCAGTGTTACAACTTCTGGAAAGTAGAACTATATAAGTGTGTTTGTATTGTGTGGAAATAAAAGGGTAAAAAGCCCATTGGACTGGTCAAGGCCAGTCTTGGAACTTGGGTTCTTTATGGTAAAAAGCCTGGCAACTATCAATAACTGTTTTGAGTTGCTTCTGTTTGATATACACTTATTTAAAGTTTAAATATGTCTGAAGCATTTAACTTCAGAATAGATAAATATAGTGTTTTCTTGGAGAATGTTGCTTTATTGCTCATGACTAAAATTGAACTCTGAATTTTGTACTGCTTGGAAATACAGATTTTTATTTATTTTTCTGGTATATTCTGCTGTGGAAAGCAAGTGAGCTTTATTTGTTTCATTGAGCAACTTTGAAGTGAGGCACTCTCATATGTATATGACAGTCTTTGGGAGAAAATAAATACTTGTGCTACTTTTTTCTTTGAATATTTCAGACCATTCAAAAATGTGACAGAGTATGATGGGCAAGATGCGTGTGGCTCCAATAGCTGGAACATGGTTGATGTTGACCTGCCACCAAACAAAGAGAACAATCCTGGAATTCTGCTGCAAGGATTGAAACCTTGGACTCAATATGCCATTTATGTCAAGGCTGTTACCCTCACAATGATGGAAAATCATCATATTCATGGAGCAAAAAGTGAAATTATATATATTCGAACCAATGCTGCAGGTGAGACAGTGGGCTCTGGGGTGAGAGGTTGATAATGCTGCAGGTGTGATTAATGCATTATTGTGCAAGTTCTGTTGTTGATACAGAAATAAAATTTATGTTCAGATGATGTGCATAGTGCTATCAGTTTCACTAATTATGAAAGTAGTATTAAAATTTGAATTAAAACTCTGCTATTCAGATTTTACTTTCATTAGGAACTATGGGAGCTTCTTGGGAGCTAGAATTTCAGGCTGTTCCATTATAAAGACCGTACAGCTTTGGGTTGGGACTTGGTTGCAGTTGAAGCCTTAACTGGTGGAATAAGTAGAAAATTCTTTCTTTGAAATAAGGTGGTGTTTTTCCTTGCAGTACAGAAATGCATTGGGATTCACTCAAAAGCTTGCATGGAAGTACATTGTAGAGTGCTCTAGATTTAAATACTTTTATTTTTTCTTTTTCTTTTTTTTTTTTCCTTATCTAGTGCCATCCATTCCCCTGGATGTTATTTCAGCATCCAACTCCTCATCCCAGCTGATTGTGAAATGGAATCCTCCCTCTCTTCCCAATGGGAATCTCTCCTACTACATCGTGCGCTGGCAGCAGCAGCCTCAGGACAGTTACCTGTACAGACACAATTACTGCTCCAAAGGTAGGAGAACTAAATGTTCTTGTGTTGAAATGCCTGGGACTCTGCCTGCCAGGGCTCTTCACTGGCAAGAGCTAAATGCCAGCAAGCAGAGAGAATGGGTAAATAACGGGCTATTGCTGTACCCAGGATCTGGAGAGAGAGAAACTAGCTCTGTTCTTTTCTTTCAAGATAAAGTCCCAATTCGAAGATATGCTGATGGGACCATTGATACAGAAGAAGCCACTGAGCCCACCAAGCCAGAGGGCTGTGGAGGAGAAAAAGGACCTTGTTGTGCTTGTCCCAAGACAGAGGCAGAAAAGCAAGCGGAGAAGGAGGAAGCAGAGTACCGGAAAGTCTTTGAGAACTTCCTTCATAACTCCATCTTTGTCCCCAGGTAATGGATTTTGGACACTTCTTTAGAAGCAGGGCTGGTAGTTTCATCTTTTAACATTCCCTAGAACTGAGGTTTCCTGGACATGCTATTACACAGAAACACCTAAAACACTAAACATTACCTTTCCTTTCCTGTGAGAATCCATAGCCTTACTTTGCAGTTTCTCTTATTTGCCAATTTTCATTTTATTCTTTCAATTCTAGCCCATTGTAAGGGCTCTTACCTGTATTGATCAAGGATTTCAGTGATGGTTTCTTTTCAGACTCAAGAGTCACTTAAGGAGCTTGTTGTCTGTAAGGGTTTCAGAGATGAGCAACATGAGGCAGACAAAGGGTTTCAGATGTGATTTTTCTCTAAATAACCATTTAAGTGCTTGTGCTCCTAATCTGAAGATTCATCTTTGAAATTAAGGGCACAGATGCTTCACAGAATTGGAACTGGTTTTCTTTTCTCACTTCAGTAATTGAAAGGGGCTTGTATGTTTCCTGGGTCAGTGTTGCAGAGAAATATTATATATTTCCACTCTCCCATGATAAACACCTACTTACATGCTAAGTGGAATTGTAATGGTTCTGATCCTCCTGAATTAATTGGTGATTTTGATCCTTGAGTGTCCAGTTCATCTGCCAGGGTAAGCTGTTGTTACTTTGGGTGATTGGATGCTGGGGCAGGACACACAGTGTCCAGCATTAATACACTGTTAGATCTCAATGGTGCACCTTGTCTCATTGTCCCTCCTGGCAGGGGAAGCCCATGGTCAAATCCTGTGTTTGAGAGCTCTGAAGTGTGGCATTGCTGCTCATTGATGCTGGTTAATATCATTCTTCATGGTGATTTTTTTGACTTTTACTCAAGGATGTGTTGGATTGACTTTGTTGGGGTTGAGACTTTTGATAGTCACAATGCTTCTTAGCTTTATCCAAAAAATGAGGAACTAAATACTGCCTCTCTTGGGAGGTGTGAAGTATCTTATCTGAGCTGTGTTTGGGTCACACTGAGCATTTGTGCAGTGTTTCCCCAGTGATGATGAGAAGCAGCAGCCAAGATCAGAGAAGTTACAGCCTCCATGTCAGATAGTGATGTAAATCTCGAGCCATGGGAAATCACAAGATCTGATTTTGGACTTCATGGAATTGCACTGTGGGGAGTTTTGAAAGCCATGTGTCAAATCTGAACTACTTGAAAGTCTGTTGCAAAGGAGGATTTTCTATTTCCCCAGGCATTTGTAATTCACAGTGTGTTGTCTTCTCCCAAATTTTCTTGCAGTCCTGCCCCCCTCCAAGAAAACTCATAGAACCTTGAACTCAATAACAAATAAACTGATCAGTTCACAGAATTTCCTGAAAGCTTGTCCTTTTCTCTTGAAACTACTGCCATTAGGGTGTTTTGTAACAGCAGGGGCAGATAAGGGACAATGCTCAGCAATAGCTGCATAGCCAAGCAACTTTTAAGAGACTGTATGTCAGGGAAATTAAAGTTTATGAGCTGGTGAGACATCTCCATGGGACAAATCTAAGCAGCTTGTTACTTGATGTCAGTTTTTTTTCCTCTCTTTCCCAAGGGAGAAGTTAATTAATGTGTTAATGCAAGCCTCAATAGTCATATTTGTTTCCAGTGTTCTACCTGTCTCCAGGTTATTATGAGAGTTGCAGCATGTAATACAGCATGAAGGTATTTGGTTGGTTTTAAGATTGTTTAAGAAGTCTGTTGATCTAATCTCTTGTGCAACTTCTGGATGACCCCATGTGTATTAGTGCCATGGTGGATTTCAAACAGGATTCTGCTTAGTCTTGGAGTGACATTCACTACCAGAGGAGAATTAATTTCTTCTTCAAGGTTATTGTTTCTCTAATGAGCAGGATGGGACTGTGTGTTCTCTGAGCAGTAACATTAAAATTGCCATGAAGTAGAAAAAGAGTGAGCATTGCTGTTAAATAGCCCAAGTTTTTTTTTAATATTTTTGATTTGCTTTAATTTTTTATAGTGTTATTTTTAATTTTTCTCTTGCATTTCTTTTCCTTCCTCTCCCTTAATGGAATAAATGATTTTTCAAGTTTCTATCTCTAGGCTTTTCCTTACTCCCTTGGATGCTTGCTTTTTGCCTTTATGTCTGCATTTCATGAATGCAGGAAGCTGCTTGACTGAAAATCACTGATGCCAAATCTTACCATGTTTTATTTACATTTACTTTGTGGTTATTCTGCAGCTCTTTTTTCTTAGTGACACAACCATAGTTTTTCACCAACAAGTTTTGTGTTCCTTTTCTCCAAAGACAACGTAGGGCTGTATTCCTCTCCACCCCTAGATACCACCAAAGACCTGAAGCTCCATAAAAGCAGTGATAAAGTCAGGCCTTTTGGATTCTTGCATTGGCACATGCTTCTGTGGCTGATTGAAAATGAACTTTTTATTTTCACTGCTTTAACCACAGAATCTGAGCAGATGTTCATCAGTTGAAGGCCAGGCATCCAACTTTTTACTGATGAGAAGTTTGTTCTTTCCACTGAGCTAAAATAGTAAATCAATACACATTGTAAGCAGGGTGAATAGGTTTAGTAACTTCCATAGATACCAGTGTAGACAAGGCACGAATGCTTATATCTTATGAAATTGCCTTAATTGACAAGATATTTGCTTGTGTGTTGCTTAAAACAATTTGTTTCTAACTTAGGAAATTCTTTCTTGTCTGTGTTTATTTCTGTGACATGGTTTACATGGTGGTTAGTGTCAAAACGACTATTTGCGACGTAGTAAAGGGATTTTGGAAATTTTTGTAGTGAACTCCGAAAGAAAAAAATTCATCCAACCTCTGCCAGAAGGTTTCAAAACTGAGTGAGCCTGTTCTTGGCTCTCTCTGCAGCATGCTGCTCTGTGGCTGCATGTACTCAGATGATATATTTGACAGTGAATTAAGTTGTCCTGTTGAGTCATCTTTCTTCCTGTTGTGTGTTCGAGGGAGGCCTCATTTGCCTGGTTTGTAACTTGCTCTCTGGTAGAGCTGTTGGACCTCATGCCCTTGGTGCCTGTTGCACTGGCCAGGTGTTCATGGGCATTGGTGAAGTGATTTCAGGGACAGGATTTAAGCCCAAATTGGTTTTGTAGTGTGACTCTTTGTCCTTTACCTCCCCTGTGGCATTGTTTTCTGGGCATGAGCATTCCTGCAGCCTTTGGAGACAAGGGAGCAGGAGCAGTAAATCCAGACTGCCCTGTGTAGTTGGTGCTCCTGTGCAGAACAGCCTCAGGCCTGGGGCAGGACCGAGGGATAGGTCCAGGGTGTGGCCACAGTGTGTTGGTTACTTGATCCATGTGGTTCTAAGAGTATCTTGATCGTTGTCCTTTCACTTGGGGCTGTCCACTACAGCAGTTCCCTGGGCTTGAGAAAGCAATGGTGTGGCTGTAAATCCTCAACTTTCTATCTCTGCTTAAATTTCACCCAGATGCCTGTAAGGCAAAGCTGCTCACTGAACTTTTGCCTCTACACAATATTAGTGCTGAGTTTTCTTCCATAGGATTGTTCCTTTGCAGAGCTTTTGTTTGGGTGAGAAAAGCAGAGATACACAGATGACCACCCGAGTGGTGGTGAACCCTCATGGCCTTCAGCTGCCTTCCAAGGTTTCTCCTCTCAATGCAATACATTCTAATTTCATCACAACTGCAAAGCTAACTCTCAGTAGGCTCAGCTTCCTTTGCTAATCCAGCAAACTTCGTAATGGTTTTTCCCCCCTAACCCTTTCAACCTTTAGCATCTTATTTTTATTTTAAGTGTCAGCATTACTGTCATGAAACACAAATCCAGGATGCTTGTTGAGTAACGGTGAAGCTGTTCTTTGCTGGTTGGTTTATTGTGTGAGGTCAGAAGTTTGCACATTCATCTTGGGGCTCAGTGTGAGCTTCAGAGTTTTGGTTGGTTCCTGACCAAAGGAGAGAGAAATGAGATGTGCTGACACCTGGCAGGTCCAGATTTAGAGAAAATTTTCCACTTGTTTTGCAGTTTCCTTTATTTAGCTATTCTATTAGCTGTTGCCTGTTTCACTGGGGTGTTTAGCAATGTTTTCCAAAGATGGAGAATAAGTGGATTTTCTCTAAAGAGCCCTTTCCTTTTCCTGTGTCTGCTCTTCAGGCCCGACCGGAAGCGGAGGGACGTGTTCCGAATCGCCAACACCACCTTGGCCACTCGGAACAGGAACGCAACTGGGACCGACCACTTCACCAACGCCTCTGATACGGAGGAGAGCGAGGTGGAATATCCCTTCTTTGAGACCAAGGTGGATGGCAAGGAGAGAACTGTCATCTCCCATCTCCTGCCTTTCACTCTTTACCGCATCGATATTCACAGCTGCAACCACGAGGCCGACACGCTCGGCTGCAGCGCGTCCAACTTCGTGTTTGCCAGGACAATGCCCTCAGGTATGCTCACATGGGGCCAGCTCTGCCTTTACTGGGCACAGATCAAGCCCAAGGGGGACAAGCTCTCCCAAACCACTTAGAATTACATTGGGGTATAGTTAAAAAAACTCTATGCAGTAGGATAAATTGGAGCTGCATAGATGTTTTGTTCCATGTCTTTGACTGGTGTGTTGTGTGTACCAAGAGATGTGTTTGAGTCTATGCTGGAGAAAGGGACAAGTTGACTGCCAGGATAATTAGGAGAGACTCTGTTTCCCAGCAATAGAAATGAGACCCCCAGACATACATGGTGGGCTGAAAGGTTTGTTCTTCAGCTCCCTGTGTGCTGAATAGATCCACGGCAACGTTTCTTTGCTAATGTTTGGTTTTGCTGTGTTCACTCGGAACTGTTTGCAGATGTTGGAGTTTTGCTAGTGGGAATGTTTGCCAAATGTTTCTTCTGTCACAGAATGACCATGCATTTGTCCAGCCTGGGAACAGGAGGAATACTGTGTTTCTTTGTGCCCAATCCCTGGCCTCTAGACTACTTCATATAGGAAGCATTGAATGCTGTGCTCGTCTTTGGGACTTTTTCAGATTGTACTTCAGAGAAGAATAGGGATGATTTTAGTGTAAGCTCATATGCATCCAGCAATGAGCTTCTGACTCCAGCAGATGTCTGGGGATATTGGATGCAGAATGGTAGCAATTTTGTTTTGTTTCTGAAAGGAAGGGCTATCATAATCCAGATCCAGCTGTGTCAGTAAAAAAAGCAAAAAGTATCGCTTATTTCAAGGAAATAAGGAAATCTGTGAGATCAGGGAAAACGAAAGAAGTGTTCCCAGATTTTTAACACATGCCTCTGAAAATCAAAAGGCTAAACAATCCTATTTTCTTCTGTTATCTTTGAGAAGGTGGTATTTTTTCAGACTGAAAACACGCTTCACATTCTTGTTAAGTCACATTAAATTATTAGGAACTAAATAGGGATAAAGCAGTTCCTGAATTGCTGCTAAGACTGTTTTAAATGGGGATGAATTTCCTATGACTGTTTTAGGAAAAGGCTGTCAGTGGGGCAGATGTTACGTGTTTACAGCTGTTTGCAACCTTTTGGTGGGAATATATCCCTGCCCTGTGTTGGTGTTAGGGGGAATTGAGAAGGAAGAATCAGGTGCTGATAGCCAGAGCCCATTCCTGGTGGAGCTGAATGCTCTGCACTGGTTTTCTGGGAACCAATAGTTCAGACTGAACTAAACTCCAGCAGGCTCTTGGCCAATGCAGTTTGTTCCCTGGATTTGAATGGCTCTTGCTGCAGAGCCTCTGCACCTGAAGAACATCATGAACCTTCCATTTTCCTCAGCTCTTCCCGAAGTTCCTGTTTCAGTCATAGGTGTTCTTCTCACATCACCTGTAAATATTTTACAGAGGGAGCAGATAACATTCCAGGAACAGTGTCATGGGAAGCAAAAGAGGAAAATACCGTCTACCTGAAGTGGTTGGAGCCTGCAAATCCAAATGGGCTGATCCTGATGTATGAAATCAAATATGGGCAGCATGGAGAGGTGAGGATTTGACATTATTATGTTGACATATTATATTGACATTATTAACTCTCAATTTATACCCAAAAATGGATCTTTCTTAACATGCCTCTGTGCAGTGCTGCACAAACAGAAATTGTGCTTTCAGACACTTAGCACCTACCAGCATGTCTTTCCTTCATTTCCTTGGAGTTCTTAAATCTCATGTATCTCCTTATGGTGTTTGAAGTAAAACTGATCAGGTGGGGCTTTTAGTTACAAAAATGAGCTTGTCCTGCAGCTATATTGCTTTCTTCAGAATGTGAAGATAATAACATGTGCAAATTGCTTTTTTCTTCTAGGAGAAGCGAGAATGTGTTTCCAGACAGGAATACAAGAAGCTTGGAGGAGCTAAACTAACTCATCTGAACCCTGGAAACTATTCTGCCAGAGTTCAGGCCACTTCCTTAGCTGGGAATGGGTCCTGGACTGAGCCCATCTCTTTCTATGTGCAGCCCAAATGTAAGACAAATGTTTACAGGCTGTGTTGAATTGGGGGTTTGTTGTCTTTTTAAGAATTCCTGATGTTTGTGTGACTGGGAATTTGAGCCTCTTGCCTCTGAACTGTCTTGCTGATGATTCTTTGGGAACTCTTCTCTGGTCCATTTTTTTGGCAAGTGTAGACAGCCAGGAGTGGTATGTGAGAAGTCTGGTCCTTTCCTTGCAGCTTTGGGTTCTGTGAGAGGTACAGGCAGGTGTGGGTGTGGAGAACATCCTGCTGCAGCTTCCTGGGATGTGCAGCTGTGTTGGGAATGTGATGTTAGCTATAACAACATGGAGCTGCTATGTACAAAACCTGTGGCAACAAGGAAAACCTGCTTAAAATTGCAAAATAATTGGAGAAACAAATCGTTTGTGTAGATTTTTGGCTGGCAGGTTGACCTGTTCTGAGTGACATTTGATTAAAAAAAAGTGTCCTGATGAAAGGGTGATGCTGGTCCTGACAGTGGGAGTCTTTTATATTTTGAAAGAACATGACCACAGATACCGTCTTTAAGACATTCTGTGTTTAGTTGTAGAGCAGATATATCCCCAGAAAACTGCAACTCTGTCTTTTATCCCTTTTTGGTTTTCTGGTTGCTGACCTTTGAACAATTTGAAGTAAAGAGCAGTGCATGTGTATTCTGAATATAAGCAGCTGCAAGGTGAACAAAAGGTGGAAAAAAAGGTGGATGTGCAAGTGAACAATTGGATATTGTTCACTGAGGAATGCAAGTCCTTTAAGCATAACTTGTGAAAACAAAGCCCAGACAGACACTGTTCTGTACAAAATTAATGCCTTTCAAGATCTGCTTTCTTGTTTCACTCATCTGCAGTCAGGGAGGCTTTCCGAGTACATTTTTCCACATCAGACAAGAAAATGAGAACTTTGATTTGTTCCCTGTATGGAAATACACTGAGTGGGTTTTGAATGTTTCTTTGTTAAGAGAGCTTTTATAGAAATCCTGATACAATTGTTTTCTTGTTGGTTGCAGCAGCAAACTATGGAAACTTCCTGCACTTGGTAATTGTGCTCCCTATTGCTCTGCTGCTCATCCTTGGGGGATTGCTGATAATGCTCTACGTCTTTAACAAAAAGAGGTGAGTTCCATGTGCTGGTGCTTAAACCTGCAGGAGGGGAATTGTTTATTTTCAAATCTGTGCCCGTGGAGCAAGTTAGAAATGAAAAAGAGAAATGACATTCAGAGGAGTTGGGAGGCTGAGGTAGATTCTGCCTCGTTGGTATGGAAAAGGAGATGATTTAAGAGTTACCAGCATCTGGCTGCTGCTGCTGCTGCTGGAGATATGAAGAGGGTTTTTATTGCAGTATCATGTTTGAGTGGGAAGAGGAAGGCTCATGAGAAACATATCAGTGGGGCAGTGATGGCACACACTGGACCTGTCTAATCAGAAGATCTGACTGAAATATGGGTCAATATAAATAATGAAAAGTTAGTTCTATTTAGATTAATGTGATTTTTTTTCAAATTCTAGAGGGTTTTTTAAAGTCATTACATCCACTTAAAAAATTATATCCTGGCTAAGAGCTGTCATTGGGACTGTTCTGTTAATTTGGTTTCCTCAGTTTTGTTTTTTTAACTAGTGATTTATTTTTTTTATCTCATTGAAACACATAACGAGAATTTAATAGCAGTACAAATGTTCAGTCTTGCAACTTTCTAGCTATGGAGGTTTTTTGTTACTCTCACATTAATTGTGCTCATTGAGTAACCCATGATTTCCAGCATCCATGATTTCTAATTCACTGGTAGCACTGCAGACAGTGGTACCAGTTCTGCTCAAGCTCTCCAGAAAGGGCTTTGTCTCTGGTGATTACAGTACCTGCTTTGCCTTGCTTAGGCTCTCCTAGCTGAAATTCCTGATAATTTTTCCTTGTTTAAAATGTTGTTCTAACACAAGAATATTTTCTCTATGAGCCTGTCTCCTGCAAAAGCTCTCAAAGTGCATTTATTGCATCTTATTCTGAAAATCACCCCAGTAAAAGTGGCAGGTGTGGCATTGTGTGGTTTTAAAATAAAATATTAGAAACACTTAGGAAACTTAGGAAATAGTTGAATGGAATCCCCCACTAAAAAGAGTCTTGTCTTTTGCTAAAAAAACTTCACTCCCACAGCAGAGCTGATGGTGGTAAAGTGCATTCTCAGCCACGGGTCTCCTGGTTGTATAAAAATATAGCTGCCTTTCTTAAAAAAAGTTTACTCAGCAGCTAAAAGTACCTTGTGTTTACATTTTCCTGGCACTGAATTGGTGTAGAGAAGACTCCAGAATTCCTGGGAAGCTATTCTGGACTGTGTTCCCATTGATTATGGTGTAGATAAGATCTCAGTTTGTCCCCTTTGAAAAACTCCACATGCGGTAAATAATATTCTGTGGTTGAGCAAGCAGTGGAAAAGCTGTGGGAGAGATGGTCTGAAATACACTCAGATTGAAAGATAAAAGAAATAAACCCCAATATTTCTACAGGAACAGTGACAGACTGGGCAATGGAGTACTTTATGCTTCTGTGAACCCTGAGTACTTCAGTGCCTCAGACGGTGAGTGTGACCTTAACTTGTGATGCTTTTACTGTCCTATGTTCTGTTGGTGGATGACTTTGAAAGGCATGAAACTCTAAAAGATGTGCTGTAAAGCCACTTTCCCTATTTTATTAAGACTGTGCTGGAATCCAGAATTGCTAATATGCAAATGGCACTTGTCTGTTGAAACTGGGGAGTTTTTGAATTGTTTTCCTGTAATCTTATCCACCTGAGGCATGAAATTTGGATTCCCTAGCTTCACTTTCACATTATCACCTACTCTTCCAGTGATGTTTTGACTGGACTGAAGGAAGAATTAATGAATTTGTGGTCTTTCATGTTTGCCCTTGTAAGCTCAGTTTTGCCCTATTGAAACAAACTCATGACTTGAAGAAATCACGACATCAGACAAATGTCCTTGAGGCCTCAGTTTTTCTGTTTATGGTTTAGTTTGGTGTTGCTGTTATAGATTTCTTGCTGGAATAGTATTTCCAAAGGCCCCCAGGAGACTAATGGCTTTACCCATAGTGGCAGCAGACTATTTTACTGTTATTTTTTTATAGCAACACCATTAGGGTTAAAGGTCTGTCACTGTTCATGCTACAATCCTCTATTTTCATCCTGTCCTTTCACCTATGTAGAGCATGTGACACAACTGTCCCCTCCTTTGGTGATTGATAGGCAGCAGCATCAGTGAGTACTTGGATGTCTTCTTGCCTGAGGCAGTCCTGCCTCCTGGCAGTCACCTTCTGAGAGCTCTCTTCTACCTCAGATCAAAGACCTGTAGCAGCAGCAGCAGCAAGTTCTGCCTTTGCTGGTGCAACGGTGTCTGTGCAAGGGATCAGAATAATGCCATGCAAAGAATTGCTGGATCAGAGTCTGCTTCCCTCTAGCCATAAAATCAGTGTTAATAGAGAATACAGCAGACACTAAACTGATACAGATATCAAGTATGTTTGATGCTGTCTGGGAGAATTAGGAGAGCAAGGATTCCAAGAAAAGATTTAACCCAAAGCATTGATTTGAGCCTCTTCCCACATGGGTTTTGTGCTTTGAGGTTCCTTATTTCTGTCCCAATATGTCAGTACCATAGTGATGCCACTTCAAGTCCACCTTTCTTTCAGATTTATTTGTATGCCATCATCCCCCTGTGTCAGTATGGGACAGACCCTGGCCTGATGGCACACGTGGTGCAAGGTCTCAGCATTCTGTGTGGGGTTGGAGCACCAGAACTGGTGGGGCAGTTGCTGTCGTGGAGCAGGGAGTGCTCCCAGCACGGGCAGCAGTGGAACATCAGGGCCTGTTCTCTCTCCCCTCAGTGTACGTTCCAGACGAGTGGGAGGTGCCCCGGGAGAAGATCACCATGTGTCGGGAGCTTGGGCAAGGCTCCTTTGGAATGGTGTATGAGGGAATAGCCAAGGGAGTGGTGAAGGATGAGCCAGAGACCAGGGTGGCCATCAAGACGGTCAATGAGTCTGCGAGCATGCGTGAGAGGATCGAGTTCCTGAACGAGGCCTCGGTGATGAAGGAGTTCAACTGTCACCATGTGGTGAGTGCTGAGGATGTGACGAGGCTGTGACTCATCCAGCCCTGGTGCTCATTGACACGAGGCTGTTCTGGGCATCTCTGCCCTGCCTGAAGTGAGAAATCGAGATTTTAACTTCAACTCTGCACAGCTTTGTAGTACTATTGTGAAACCCCAGTCAAAAAGTGGAACCAAATCTACATTCAGACCTTTTCCACAGGGCTACATATCAACATGAATAAATGATAATTAGCTGTACTTGCATACTTGTACTGAACGTTTGTTTTTCCTCTGCCAGGTTCGGCTGCTTGGTGTTGTTTCTCAGGGCCAGCCTACACTGGTTATCATGGAGCTGATGACACGTGGGGACCTCAAAAGTTACCTGAGATCATTGAGGCCAGACACAGAGGTGAGTCATGAGTTGCTGGAGGTTTATTTCTTCAGTTTGAATCGTCTTGAACAAGACAGCCTCACATTGGAAGCAGCAAGCAATTAGCCTTTCCTGCCCTTCTCCTTCAGTCTAAGGACAAAACATGAGCTGTTGTGTGATCTCCAGCAGCTCTTTCATGAGGCAGCCCAGAGTGCCACATGGAATAGGTCCCTCCTTGTGTCACTGAGTCCTCTTTTCCAGATTTGCATTAGATCTCTTGTCTGATATACTTTCTCATCAAGATGTTACAGAAATTGGCTGGTTTAAGAACACGTGTTAGGATAATTGTTTCATGTTGTGTGTCCTGCCCATTGCCCCTGCTGGAAAGTAAATATCTGTTATCTTAGCTCCTGTGCAAACTCTCATGCATAGGCCATCAGTCTAACAGCTAAAATTGTCACATACGATAGAGGGTCTGAAGGACAAAGATGACACACAGGTCACTTGCCCCTGAATCACAGCAGCCTATGTAGAAAATGAGCTCAGCAGCTTTTGCCCTTGATCTAGAAATTCCAGTGTGGATAAATTAAAGGGACAGAACTGAGGACAGTATGTGCACAAGAGGATGGATGTGGTCTATTAATAGTTCGATCTTCATCTTGCTCAGAACAACCCTGGGCAGGCACCCCCGACCCTGAAGAAGATGATCCAGATGGCGGGAGAGATCGCTGACGGCATGGCCTATCTCAACGCCAACAAGTTCGTGCACAGGGACCTCGCCGCCAGGAACTGCATGGTGGCCGAGGACTTCACAGTCAAAATTGGAGGTGGGCTATCCTGACCCTTGCACAGGTCATAGAATCATCCTGGGAAATCAGTATCCTAGAAGGCTTTCTATTTATTTATTTATTTATTTATTTTTAAAGCTGAGCTCTAGTTTAAATATCTGCAGAATGAAATAGGTTCCTTGTGAAGACTTGCTGTGATTTAAGACCTGTGAGCGGTTAACACTGAGCTGAAAGCTCTGGAATACCTCTGCTTGCTGTTGGTCCAGTGAGGCAACAGTACAGCATGTGGGTTTAAAAAGAGCTGGTGAGGAAGTGATGTAGGTTCAGGTACTGCAGACATCTGGGTAGATGGTGTAGTTATCACTGGTGTATCATTCATGTCTCTGTTAATGCACAAAAATAATTCTACCTCCTGTTTATTGATTCAAGAATGAGAATTTTAGGATTATTTTAAATCATATCTGAGTTGGAAGAGGAATGACTTCAGCTGGGTGCTTTCCAGTCTAAACTGGAGTTCTGCTTCCCAGACAGCTGAATGGCTTTTCTTCTTCTCTGCTGTTAGATCACCAATTTTTTTTTTCCTTTCACCATCCCTCCAAAATAGTGTCAGATGAGTTTTTTCAGTCTTGTCTCCAGAGAGAGTGATTTTAAGCTGTTGGCTGTTTTTGAGTTGTGCATATTAAAATAACGTGTATAGCAACAGCCTTCTGCTGTAGGAAACTAATTCTTTTTCTCTGAGCTTAACTCAGCTATTTTGATAATTTGTGTAAGTAATCCTGTCATTTGGGAGAAAGAAAAAATGATTTCATTTTGAGTCAGTTAATTAGGAAATAAGATCTTTTGGGGATTTTGTGTATTTTCTGCAGGTTCGTGGGAAGTCAGCCTAAATCCTTCCCATTCCAGTTTTCTCCTCCTGCCCCCATCAGCTTGTTTTACAATTCTGTAAACTGAAGATATGGTGCATTTCTTCCCTTTAACGTGTTCATGGTTACCCCAAAAGCATTTTGTAAATGTGCTGCACTGCTCTTGTTTATGTAGCAGCATTGAAAATCCCCTCGTGCAGAAACAGTTCAGGAGCATCTTGGCTGGAACACGCCAACTCAGACTGTTCAGATCTCAGAGGAAGAGCTTTATGCCACACTACCCTGTGCTTACTGCATGTCTGTTTCTTATTTGCATTACATTTTGAAAGAATCTTCCATTCAGCTGGGATAAAGTCACCCTGGTGTGTGGGAGTGATGGAAGAGCTGCACAGATGGGCTTTTTAGTCATAATCGCCGAGGGTGCTGGTGTCCCTGGTACGCCTGGTTGGTCACTCACCACTGACTGGTGATAACAGAGAGCTGGGGGAGTTCTGTACACATTTCCTAGGGGGAAAAAAGGGGGACAATTACAGGTCTATGTTGGTGAAATGGATTTTGCCCTGTGTGTCATCAGACAGCATTTAATACCAGTCAGAGGACTGCTGACCTCTAATTTATTAACATTTTGGTTGGTGTCTGAGAGCACAGTAACTGGTTTCAATAGGCAAGTGTGAGACCCAGCAGTTCTGTCTCAGGCTGATTGTAGAGAAAAAAACACTGGAATAAATCTGGGTTACAGTCACGGGGATGAACATTTTTAGATCCAAGTCTTGCAAATGCTTATGAATTTACAGCTAAGCATGGATATAAACCGGAAGTATGTCTTTAATATTTGGGCGTGTTGATCACCAATGAACAGCATAATCCTCTGTAGCACTTGAAGTGGAATATTGTACAGAAGCTGCAAATTTCCTTTGGAAATAGGAAGAAGAAAACAAAGAGAAGTATTTCTGTCAGCATGTGAGATTATTCGATTAAACAGAATAGTTGTAAGTACTAAAGGAGCTCCTTACACTCCTTAAAAAAAAGAAAATCACTGAGCTTGGGGAACAACTAGTAAATTATTTGACCTTCAGAAGACTCATCTTACTGCAAAGCTTGAGCATAAATGCTGGAACTTTTCATATTCCTATATTTAAACCATTCAGACTTGTCACCCCTGATGTCAGTGGCACAGTCTGTTGGTGTTGGGAGGGAAGGTCACCAGCCCCGAGGCAGCAGCTGAAGTATCTGCAAAGTCAAGTGTCGTGGGAGCACAGCGCAGATTCCTCACATCCAAGTGTGATTCTCTGCCTTGTAGGAAGGGGAAATGTTTGTCATTTTCTCACACAAACTCAGAGTATTTCTACCTTCTAGATTTTGGCATGACGAGAGATATCTATGAGACAGATTATTACCGGAAAGGAGGGAAGGGCTTGCTGCCTGTCCGCTGGATGTCCCCGGAGTCGCTGAAAGATGGAGTCTTCACAACACACTCCGATGTCTGGTAACAAAAAAAGGGCTCTGAAAAATGGCTTTAACCTCCTTCTTTCTAGCCTCTCTTCTTGTTTTAGTAGACTTAACCAAGTGTACTGCTTCTCCTGTCTGTTCAAAGGCAACTGGGTTCTTCCATGAGTTCATGTTTCAGCAAGAACTCGTGAGGTTAAATTTTGCTCTCAGGGAGAGCAGAATTAAATATATTTCTAAAACTGGAGGTGGCAGTATGTTTCCCGCTGTTCGTTGTAAAATCAGTTGTGCAGTGAAAAACATTACCTTCACCTGGAAGAGCAAGTTGTCATTTTTTAAATTGTCCTCCTTCAGGAAAAGCATTTAAAGTTGCCAAGAATATAAAAAGGTTCCTAGTGCTGACCTGCTTTTCCATCAAAACCTTCTGTGTAAATAACATCACTTTTCCCCAGATGGGTTGTGTACACTCACAGGCTTTTTGGGGGAGTTGTCTCTTGTGCATATCCCTCTCCATTTGGAGCTTTGTTTGGTTGTTTTATATACTGCAAGATGCAGAAATAGGGTTTTCTTTCAAAGGACACTGCATGCTTGCTGTATCTGTGCAGTTTATTAATAGAGGCGTGTACTTAGGAGAATTAATCCCCTGGAACAATTTCCCACACACCCCCCAGCTCTTGGAGATAGGTAGGGAGGACTTGGCAGAGGATGGTTGTGTACTGGCAAAACCTCTCCTGTCTTTTATTCCTAACAAGATGTTTTTACTGCTGATCTGTTACAGAATTGGCAGCTGATTGCCTCCAAATGTCTAGAAGTCAGTAGGAATGATGTTTTCGGAGTAAACTGCATTTTCTTTGAGCAGCTTGAGGAGTTTGGAGTCAGTGGTCTCTAGTTCACAGCACCAGCTCTGAACAAGAAGTTCCTAAGAAGAATTAAAGTGAAAGAGCACAGCACCAGAATGATGCTTAAATTTTATTTTACATATGGCTAGTAACTTTCTTTTGAATCCAGTAACCCTCAGACTTGGAAGCAGATGAAAACAACCACATTGAGTCGAAGGGAAGCCCCATATCAGCCATTTATCTGATGGAACAGTACAGGCAAGCTTTTGGCAGTCCCCCAAGTAAAAGAATTTTGGGACTTGTAATGGCTTCACAAAGCAGACAGAAATTTGGACTATATCACTAGAAAATCCCCAGATGAAGGACTGACCAAGCCTGGAGTGAGGAGTTGGCAGAGCTGCCTGTTCTTGCCACACAACAGGAATTTTCATGTCCAGCCATTGCCTCCAAAAGGGTTCAGAGCAGCTCAGGGTGAGCAGTGGGGATGTCCCATATGTGTTCCACTCATGCTTTCTTTTAGCCTGCGACTCTTTAAGTGATGTTATTCTTTAAATATAACTCAAATTCCAAACAAAAAACCCCTAGGTGTGACGCCAAATGAGGTGTCAGATGTAAATTAGTGCTGTAGTTGTTATGGGAAATGCATGTGTGTTTCCCTAACAAGGAAGAGAGGAGGTTTAGATTGAATATTGGGAAGGATTTCTTCCCTGTGAGGGCGGTGAAGCCCTGGCACAGGGTGCCCAGAGAAGCTGTGGCTGCTCCATCCCTGGAAGGTCCAAGGCCAGATTGGATGGCCCTTGGAGCAACCTGGGATAGGAGAAGGTATCCCTGCCCATGGCAGGAGGTGGAACAAGATGGGCTTTAAGGCCCCTTCCAGCCCAAACCATCCTGGGATTTCATGATTAGGCATTTGTTGGTTGCTCAGTCCAAAGCAGGATTGTGCAAACAGTATTGCAGTTCATTGGTGGGACAATCTGAGTGAATATCCTGGCGTGGAAAGTAGTTTAGTGATTACAGGATTGGAAAGCTGAAGAGGAGGAGCAGTAAAATCTTGACAGATTTTTACTTGTAAGCATAGAGAGGAAAAAACGTGTTTTATGAAGAGGAGGCTCACAGTACTCATGGGTATTTCAGAGAGTTTCTCCTTGGGATGGTTTGGCATCTTAATTGTTGGAAGTGATTTACTCTTGAAATTTGGTTCACGGGGTGTACTTGTCTGGAGGCACAAAAAAACGGGCTCAACATGAGAAATCTGCTGTTTGTTTAGAACATGTATCCACAGCTACAGAGAAATTTCAATCTAAATTCCAAATGTAGTGGAACTTGACTTAACACTATCATGAAATACTATTTGTATGTCATGAAATACTACAGACTAATGTCTATTTCCTTGATCTGCTTACGACTAAAAGGATCATTCTTTCTTAGTGACTTTTACACCAGGCACTATACATTGGAGATCTCTTCATGGCTGGAAAAATTCCCTGAATCCTTTTATTGGTCCAGATTTGAAGTTGCTCAGTGTAAACTGTGGAACTTGGCTGTTTTGGGGGCCATTTATTTGCATCAAACAGTAAACAAAAGGTTGAGATTGTTTTTTCCTGTCCTTCTGGGCAGATATTGTGACATGTAGTCCCATGTTCTTCGAGATCAGTTTTAGAAGCCAAGATGTCAAAAAGACAAAACCCTGTTGAGTGTTTGGAGTCCAGATTTATAAGCTGTAAGGTGAAATGGCAACTGCAGGAAGGAAGAGTGTCTGGAGGTTTGAAGGGTGGAGCTTTATTTTAGCAACTCATTCTTTTATTGCTTTTCAAGCTGAAGAATGAGGTAATTAGACAGGGCTGTTTTTGTTGTAGTTAGGGAAGGGAGGACATTTTAAAATTAATGGAATACTGTTCACGGTGAGGGTGGATTTCTATAAATAAATCCTCAGCATCTTGCATTCTTTCAGGGCTGGTAGTTGCCTGGAAGGAGCAACCAGAGTTTATTTGCTAGGATAATCTGAAGAGTAGGTGTGCAAGACTTGTCCTTGTTATCCCTGCCATGATCAAAGAAGCTTCAAAGGCACTCAAATGTTGAGTTGACCCCCTGTCCCTCCCTCCCCTAAAAGGAAAACAATTGCAAGGCAGTTTGTGGCTTCTGGCTCCAGATGCAAACCAGTTTAGATCCCAGGGATAGCTGAAAGACAAAACCACTGGGCCATAACCAGCTAATGACACTGGACTCCTTGTTTTCATAACTCCCCCCAGTGGAACTGCGTGTTTTTCACTCAGCTTGACTCAGCATTTTACCACAGAAGTCAGACAACATCAAAATTTTCCTTCTTTGACCAGCAGCTCTAAAAGTAGTTGACTCTTCATTGCAGGACAGACAATTTGAGCTGTGTCTGCTCAATAATCTAATTTTAAATGGAGGTATTTTTAGAAAGTGTCAATACTTACGTCCAAACTACCCAATTACATAACTATGCTTATCTTCCTTTGCCAGTAATCAATTCCTATTATTAGACAAACTGCTTTTTTCACTTCTGCTGTCCTTTGTAGTTATCTGGAAGGAGCTGGAAGCTCTGTTTCAAGAACATAGTTACATGCATGTCACAAAGGGATAGCTGAGTTGTTCTCACCTGAGCCCTTTGCTCACTAGAGTGGAGGTGTTTGAAGTCAGCAGTCTCTTGAGGGAGGGGTTGTGACTGTCACCACAGGCACATGCTTTTTGAGCAACTGGAATTCTTTGGAAAAAAGAACATACCCATGGACACATAGAAAATACCCATGGAGACCCAGCACTCAGCATCTTGTAAGAAATACACCCTTGTAAAGATGGCTGGGAGCCCTAACACTGTGATGTTCCCTGCAGGTCCTTCGGAGTGGTGCTGTGGGAGATCGCGACGCTGGCGGAGCAGCCGTACCAGGGCATGACCAACGAGCAGGTGCTGCGCTTCGTCATGGAAGGGGGGCTGCTGGAAAAGCCAGACAATTGTCCCGACATGCTGTAAGTGCCACCACTGCCCTGCGGGCTCAGCTTGTGCCTCCTGACCCCTGCAGGGTTTGCTCTTGCCAGCTACAACAGGAGGGGCTGCTCAAACAGTCTCTGTCAATCCACTATTTGATGATACTGAGACATTCCAGAAAACAACTTTGCTTGTGACCAGAATCTCACCTCGGGCTATCTTCTCTAATAAGCAAACAAAATCCAAGCTTTGTGTTACTGAATAAAATTAGGCTTAATAAAAATGTCACTTCATAAGTGACATTTGCTACATCAGGAGGCTCTGTGCCTAAATCATATCTCTTCTGCTTAAAGCAATTCTGTTGAGCATAAAGAGAGAAAAGAGCATGGGACAAGCTGAAATGTGTGTAAACACTGGAATTCAAGTTTTTAGTTCAGCACACAGATAAATCAATGTGTCTGAAGCTGGGTTATATCTGCAGTTTGAGTCACAGCACTTGTCCCATTGAAATAAACAAATCCCCCCTGCTAACAGTTTCCTTCCCTGCAAGCACACGGTCAAGTTTTCCACAGAAAAAACCTCTCCCTGCCCCAGGATCGACCCAAAGCCTTGCAGCAGCAGAGGGTGTGCAGTGCAGCAGCTTCAGTTTTTAGCTTTACATTGTTGAAATACTTCTGCTGTCCTTTGTGTACAGCAGTTTCAGTCGTTCAGACTTTATTGCTTTGATATACTTCCCAAACTGACTTTTGGGAAGGAAATACTGCGTCTTGCAGTTATTGAAATTTGTTGGAGGCCCACAGAAGGGATACAATCACTTAAGGGCCTCAGCTGCTTGGAATTCTTAGGAAAATAGCTTTTTTGGCTGGAGCCTGGCTATGGTTTCAGATGACAGGCAGTGTTGTTTTGTTGTTTGAGGGGGGTGGGTGGTATATGCAGGGGGAGGTGTAGCTGCCATGTGATTCCTTGGTTTCACATTCCTTCCCTTTCGAGATGCTGTGGAGAATTCCTGGCAGTCGGATTGACTGGACATTGTTTAACACGGCCAGAGCTGTGCAGTGGGGGTGGGCACAAATGGAGAAGAACGGGGATGTGACGGGTTCAGCTCCCTGGGTTCACAGGGAAAGCACCTCTGCAGTGAGAACAAACTCACTGGGGAGAGATCCAGCATTAGAAATTCCCTGTTAAGCTGGGGCTTGTGTGGTTTGAGCAGGGATGGGAGGGGAGTCAGGCCAGAAGTTGTCTCTGCTGCAGCCCACCCGGTTCTCCTTCCTCCCCCTCCTCAGGGAATCTCCTCTGCTCCAGGGCTGTTGCTACTGGATTTATCCACTTTCAAGGTCCTGGCTTGTGAGCTGGGAGAACTTGGTTAAAGTCTGGCAGAGCAAATCTTTGCACCAGTGTGTAACAGCCAAGACCTTTCTTGTGCTACTCCACATGGAGAAGTTGTTCACACGTTGGTTTTGCCCAGCAGGATTCAGCCTGACAGTGCAGAGGTGCAGAATAAAAAAAATCTGCCTTTGAATTGTGCTGCTTTGCTCTGTCAGAAAAAGGAATGAGGCTGAACTTAGACTTAAGGCACATCCATATTAGTGGTGATTTTTTGGTTTGTTTTTTTTTTTAGTGATAAAGTTGAGGATAAAACACCTTGGCTTTATCCCAAATGTAAAAAGAAAAAAAAAAAGTATGACCTTATTGTGACTTGCTTTTGCTCCCTTTCAGCTTGTTTTGTCTTTGTTTTAGTACAGACGCCCAAATCTGCTGAAATTCAAATACGCTGTTGTAGGAATAACAGTAGGGAGCTCCAGGAGTAACTTTCACCTTTGTTCCCTGCACACGCACTTGGCAATCAGAAAACCTCTTAAGTTCCTGTGGTGCTTTATTCTTTGCATGTTTTCACTTCTGTCCCTGTCCAGGATGCTGTGACAGTGCTGTGCCACCCTCAGTGAGCTCCCCACTGCTCCCAGTCCTCACCCACACACTGCTGGCAGGGTCAGACCTACTCTGTAGGCAGAGGTTCTCTCCAGGACCCAGTAACCTCCTTCACAGCTGGGGACCTACAGGAAAATTAGGACATGGGCAGAAGAGTGTTTCTAACAGTATCTAAGAGCCCTGAAATTGCACCTGAATCTTACCCTGCATCCCAGCATGTTCCAGGCCACCGTGTTCTCCAGTGCTTTATGAAACCCTCTATAAATGAAGAGACCCTGTTTTTTGTGGAGATTGCTAAAGGATTGTGTTTAAAGGCAGGTTTCTTGGGGTGTCTGCTAGTGGGAGGTACTTTTTATGCAGCACGAATTCTTGCTGGTGGAGACTGGTCTGTGACACTTCAGTATTGACTCCTCATATTAACTCAAAATGTCCCAAAAGCAAAGCCTGGCTGCAGGGAGGCCACTTGAGCTTGGTGCTGCCTGGAAGCTGGTGAGAAGGGGAGCTCTGTGCTCCTGTGTTTCATGGAGTAGCTACAAATCACAGGGACTTTGTTCTTCAAATTAGTTTGACTTGGAAGCAACTGAAGTTCTGGTCAGAACATCAGTGGACCTGGCTTTGGAGAGAGGGGAGTGTGCTGACAGAGAGAAACCTCCAGAACAGGTGGAGGAGGTAACTGCTGTGGGGAAGTGCAGATGAGAACAGAGAGAAGAATCTTGCTGTCACCAAATCAGCTATTTTTAGCCGTGCGGGTGATGTGATGTTGACATGGCCCTGCACCCTCCAGCCACAGAGCAGGAGCTCCCCTCAGGACCTCGTGTTCCCCTCCATGAATTCTGCAGGGTTCAGGCAGGCTGGGACACTCTGTGTCTCCATCCCTGCCATGCTTGTCAGTGCCTGTGCTCCCCTAACCCTGGCAGCAGAGTTTCAGTAGCTTTTAGGTGGAGCTGGAGAGGTCCTGTTCTACAGTGTGGAGAGGATGCTTGGGAAGAGGGGGATTCTAGAGGGGGTTGTCCTGTGGATGGAAGGTGGTGAATCCCTGTGAAAAGGGCAAAGCACAAAGGGAAGGGTATTTCTGGAGGCTCTTTACTCTTGTACAGGGTGAAACAAGCCTCAGTTGTGTTTATGCTACACCCTCTTGGCATAGCTCGCGTGGCTCTGCAGACAGAACCATGCAATAAGACAGATGGTTCAGTAAGACGGTGCCAGGAGAAGCTTTGCTGTTTTTCTCCTCTTCCTGTGCACTCAGTGATGTTTTTATGTCCTCCCATTGTTATGGCACTGCTCATCAGGTGACGGCTGCGTGGCACCGAGCTTTGGTACAGCTGAAGCTCTCAGACAGTGTGTTCCCATGAGGCTTTTAAAATTTGTGGAGGCTGGAATTCCACTCTGTTTTTGAAGCAGGATTGCTTCCCCCACATGCATTGTAGACTATTTACGCAGTGCTGATTTCCCTTTGTTCCTGCTTAGAACCCGGGGTCTGCTCTGCAGAGGCACTGGCAGCACACGGCACCAGCAGGGGAGGCGAGGTCCTTTTGCTTTTCCCCACCAAATCAAGTGCATTGCAAAGCACAAATGGAATATAAAGCTTCTATAGGAACTTACCATTTTCTGTTGTTTTTTTAATTGTCTCGGTGCAAAACAGAACTCGGTTTCTGCTCAGTTGCTTGAGCAAAAGATGCACAGAGGGAAGCTGGCTATTCCCCTAACCCATGGTGGTGCCTCCAGCTCCCTGGAGTTCACTTGCCACCAGTCAGGAACGTACTTTATAAATCTGCTCAGGTTGTATTAACAGCCTGTAAATTCCTCCATTGTCTATTGGAAAGGTTTTTATTTTGTTTAAGATAATGTAAACAAGGCCTGCGAACACACAGAGTTAAAAAGGAAAAAAAATCCTTTTATGGGAACTCTGTAGGGTTTTTAAATCTGGAATGGCTTAAAAGAAACATCACATGTCCTTGTTTGTGCTGATGTCACATGCATTACTCCGCTGCTTGTGGTATCTCCTTAGCATTGCCCTTAGGCCTCGGGGCACAGAGCCAGCGAATATCCAGAGTTCCTGGCTCCAGCCAAGCTTCTATTCAGGGACACAGCAGTCAGCTGGAAGGGAAACAGCAATGAAGTAACAGAAATGGATTTTATATATTTATGTCTCAAGCTTTCCTCACCGCTTGTGGGTGAGGGTACGGTGCAGTTTTATAGTCTGGCTTTGCTTTTGCTCTGAAAGGCTTTCCACAGACTCAAAAACAAGCAGGAGTTGGGCAGTGTTTACGTGTCTACGTGCGGTTACAATGCAGCATTGAGTACCCAGGGAGTTCTCCCAGCACAGACTGGTTTTGCCAGCTCTTGTTGGGTGTCACAAGGCCATTCTCAGGTGGCTGACGTTTGTTCACACGGAGCAGTGCCAGTGGAGCTCTGGCAGGGATATTGGGCACTTCAGATGCACTTCAGTGAAGATTGCTTTGGGTTTGGTTGAAGCACTCAGCAGTGTTTGCAGCCCAAACACAGCCACTTGCCCTCTCTGCTGGTTCACTTCAGCTGAGAACTGAAGTGGAGGTGCAACAGTATTTCCCAATTTCCTGAGTTTCTGGGCAGGGGCTTCCTTTGTTGGGGTTTTGTTTCAGGCCAGGGCTTCCAAACTCTCTCCACACCCACCATGGGCTGTAGAGCCCAGGGTTCTCCAGCTCAGTGTCAGCCCTGTTGGAAGGGTTGTTCTAGACCACAGACATTAGTCTGAGGTCCTGTACAAAGAGAGTGAAATTTTTTTGTTGTTGTTTGTTTGTTTCTATATAATTTAAAATAAAATCGTTCCACACTGATGCAGAGATCTGGTAAACTGAAGGCACAAGGCAGTGAGAGCTAATGAAAAGATGAAACAGAATTGCTCGTTTGAGCTCCGAAAATCTGTGGAAGTTGGAAATATGGTGGTGTTCTTTAGAATTAAAGCTAAAAGTTTAGGTGACCTGGCTTAAAGGAAGGCTGGCAGAGGTGGGAAATAAACTCCAGCAAGCCAAGGGGGTCTGGCTGGGGCTGCATGTCCCAGTGCTGGCAGGTGAGTCAGAGACGTGCATTACCTTAACTAATCTTTCTTGGCTTTATTTTATTTTTAGATCCATTCTTACTCTAGCACAGAGTAGTAGTTTTGGCCAGCAGTGACTTCCTCCACACAGCGTGTTCCTCTGAGCACTTGTGTACACAGAGGATTGGCTCGAAGAATTAATGCTAATCTTCCTTTTCTTATTTAAATTTGTCCTATTACTGCACTGTGTTAGCAGAAGACATCCCTATTCCACCTTCACAGACAGTGAAATCCTTTCTTGTGTTACGTTTAAAGCTCAGGGCGATCTCCTGGGAATATCCAATTTTGCTGTGTCATGAAAATGCTGTTTTCATTATGGCTGTATTACTGTTTCATTTTGTGGTTTTGTTTTGCCAGCATGGGACGTTGTACAGATCTAATCATGGATGTGCTTAAACAGATGATCTCACACTCAGTAAAATATTAATGCAACCCTGGCCATAAATGAAAACAACCTAATTTTAAAATAAAAATATTAGAGACGGTCTTTGAGATTGGCAAATGTCCACTGGGGATTGCAATTAATTTTAATGTAATTTTCTTCTTTCAGGGGAAGAAGGCAGTGCTTTACCTTGCTTGTATTTCCTAGTTTAATTTTTTTCTAAGTCAGTATTGATGGGGTGGGATGAGTTGTTTGAAAAGATACTCCAAGAGTATCTACAATCATGTAGCTTATGGCTGAGTAAGCTCAGGGTAATTTAGAGGAAAAAGAGAAATGCCAAGTCAGAATAAAAATATGAAATGGTTCTGGATGTCAGGTACCCGTGAGACATGAGGTGTGGGAGGGATCGGAAAAGGTGAGGTGGGAGGTATGGGAGTAAATGAGTGATGAGAAGGAAGGTGGAAATGTGACACAGATTCACAGCATATTGTGAGTTGGAGGGGACCCACCAGGATCATCAAGTCCAACTCTTAAGTAAAGGCTGGTTATGGGTGTTGAACCCACAGCCCTGGGATCTCGGCCTGTGAAAGTTCTGTCCCTTTGGCTTCCCTCGGGATGGAATGATTCTTTAAAGCGCATGGTCTGACCCAGTCATGGCTCTAAAACACCTCAGTAAATGTTTCTCCTGTGTGTTCCCTGCCCAGGTTCGAGCTGATGCGCATGTGCTGGCAGTACAACCCCAAAATGAGACCCTCCTTCCTGGAAATCATCGGTAGCATCAAAGACGAGCTGGACCCAGCCTTCAAAGAGGTCTCCTTCTTCTACAGTGAAGAGAACAAGCCTCCGGACACAGAGGAGCTTGACCTGGAGACTGAAAACATGGAGAGCATTCCTTTAGACCCCTCCTCCACCCTGCAACCCACTGACAAGCACTCAGGACACAAGGCCGAGAACGGCCCTGGCGTGGTGGTGCTGCGGGCCAGCTTCGAGGAGCGACAGCCGTACGCGCACATGAACGGGGGCCGCAAGAACGAGAGGGCCCTGCCCCTGCCCCAGTCCTCGGCCTGCTGATCCTCGGAGCCCCGCAGAAACAAAACACACACAAACACAGGCATTGGGGGAAGAAAGAAAATCACAATATATTCAAAAGCCTACTGTACCTCAGTGGATCTTCAGAACTGCCATAGCTGCACTTGGGAGAACCCTTTTTTCAGTAAACAAGTTACCGTCTTTTTCTTTTTTTTTCAATATGCAAGCAGATGTTTGTTTCAGTCAAGGACTCCAGTCATGGGGCACACAGTTGGCCTTTTAAAACTCTTAATGTTAACACTTAATAGCAACAGAAAACTTGAGATCTGATGTCTCTCTCTCTTCTCTCTCTTCTTTCTCTTTCTTTCTGTCTCTCTTTTTGCTTCATAATGGGAAACATATCTGCGTGCAAGTTCAACCGTACAGCACTTTTATCAGATCAAAGATATCGCAGGCCAGGTGGTTCTCGGTACCCCTGCAAGCACCTGCCTAACACTGTAGGTCTTTATTAAAAAAAAAACACAAACAAACAAAAAACACAAACAAACAAAACCACACACAAAAAAACCCTAAACTAAAAAAAGAAAAAAAAGACTGGATTTTTAATGTTGCTCTTTAATCTTTTTAGGAACATGTAAAAGAATAAAAAAGGGCCATCATTCGTCCAAGGCTGTTACCATTTTCAACGCTGCCAAATTTTGCCAAAAAAAATGAACTCTTTGTTTGTTTTCGTTTGGTTTTTTGGTTTCTATTTTTTTTTTTTTGTAGTCATGGAAGGAGCACAGTAATCAACTGCTCTGTTCAAAACAGATCCTGACCAATATCTTCTGTTCAGTCATGCACTGGTATTTAAAAAAAAAAAATTAAAAAAGTCAAATTGTCTAGATATTTTTTTCAAAACTGGACAAAATGTGATATTTTTTTTTTTCTTGTGATGGAGAAGATAAAAGGGATGGGGTAAAGAACCAGCCCTCCCTCCACCCCTGTCCCCATCCCAGTGAATTCTGGACAAAACTGGCAGTGGTGAGCTAAACAAATAGGTGTACAAAAAAAGTCAACCACCCGCCAAAAATGAATTATGAAAAACCTGAAAATAAGCGGCCGAGATCTCCATCGTTGCAGCCTGCCTTCCTTCACAGGCTTGCAAGGAAAAAACACCTAGAAACATAAATTGGAGAAGACAAAAAAAAGCAGTAACCGGATTCAAGTATATGATGCTTTGTTGACCTTTTCTCTTTATTATTAAGACTTCTCGAAGGGTCTTGCAGTTCTATGTTAGACCATGGATCATTTGCATACACATTGTCTTTTGTGTCACTTTTATAACTTTCTTACGGTTCAGATACTCATCTATATGTCTGTACAGAAAAAAGCTGCTATTTTTTTTGTTCTTTATCTTTGTGGATTTAATCTATGAAAACCTTCAGGTCTGCCCTCCTTCCCTTCCCTTCCACTTCAACAAATTTTCTTATGCTTTGTACTATAGTGTGTAACTTTTACTTCCTCCTTCCCAGTAACTGATACCTTTCATATGATTTGCCATGAACTGTTTAATGCCTTTTTATAAATACATTTCTTTTTTTTTTTCTTTTTTTTTCCTCTCCTTCCCATTAGTTGTTTTACGACATCTTGGCTGTGTGGGTTACAGGGTTTTGGAGGGGGACAAGGAGAAAGAAGGGACACCCTGCACAGGAATACTCTGGCTGTGCTGTGGTGCGGTGTTTTTAAGCCCCAGTTTTCCTTCCTTCCCACTAACCTCTGCCCAGACAGCACACAAGTCTCTTACAGTGCAAGGCGTGATACAAACTCAGGTCAGAAACAAAAGGTTAACTATTTAGTACATTCTTGTTCAGTGTTTATATTCATTGTTGTACAAGGGTCCTACCCCTCCTGCCCTCCCCGCTCGTTCTGGTCATGGCACACATCCACCCACCCATCCCACACAGACACACACACACACACACACACATGTATTCTTTTTAAATTATTAGTTGGGTACAACAGCAGACACCAGGCTTTTGGGTCACTGATCCTTAAAAAGTTCTTTTAACACTTTCACCCTGTGGACAAGAGCTGTGCCAGGTGCAGCTGGCGATGCCAGGCATTCCTAGGGTGGCCATCACCTGGCTCCAGCCAGCCCCAGCTCTTCACCTTCCTCATGGGGAAGCTCTTGTGGAGGGGAGCCCTCGTGGAGGGCACCTGAGCTGCACTTCCCATCCCCAGTGAAGAAAACCCCCCAACCAAAGGGAAGCCCCCGCGCTGTTTCCGTGGGGCTGGTGGGAAGCTCGGAGCTGGGGCCAGCGGCTTGGCTGGCAAACAGTGAAGTGTTGGCAGCTATGGAAACCTGTACAAGTCCAAGCTTGTGGCTTAAATCACAGACCAAACCTCAGAACAAAAGACGAGTGAGCTTGTTTGTTCAGTTGCAGAAGCCTTGGTGCGAGGGGAAGGAGGGGCCGTCAGGAAGCCGACACCCAAGGAGTCTTACCAGTTGCTCATCTTACCTTAGTTCCAGTCTAGGCCTTTGTTTAGCACTGATCCAACCAAACGATGGCAGGAAGAGGTGGTTCTGGGATGGAAATGTTCAAATCTTTTGAGTTAGAACAATGAATTAAAATATACTGGTTGCTAGTTTTGACTGGAGATTTTAAAAAGTTTGTAGTGCTTTTTGCTTGTGTAGTTTAGGTCCCATTATCTTCTCTTGCCTCTGTCCCATAGTTATTTTTCCCTTTTGAAAATGAAAAAGACAAAAAAGTTAATTAAGAAGGTATTCTATGTAGGATTTTTTATTTATTTTGTGATATCAGTTTAAATCACTGTAGAGATGCCCCATAATGAATTTAAATACTGAGATAAGGGTTTTAGAGTATGACAGGGGGACAGTTTTTGATTTTTTTTTTCAAACATTTATCTACCTCACTCTTATTTTTTTATATGTGTGTATATAAAAAAAATACATCTCACATTTCTCAGCAGCCAATAAATGCCGTTGATACTGGTAACCTCTCACTCCATATACCACATGCTCTAGGTTCTGGAGGGGAACAGTCACTGCCTGTCACAGAGGGTCACCTCAGAATATTTGCCTCAATTCCAAAGGGTTTCTCCTATTTTTTAACATTTGTTGTTGTGAGGAGAAATCCAAGAGTTATCTGACTTAGGGTGACGGTTCTCAAAGGAAACACAGAGGCTTTTTAATGTGCTGTCACAGCAGCTCTTGGGTCAGCAGCAAAACGCTGTGTGTTTGGATGAGTGGAAATGCAGCTGACCTGATATGGAAACTTCAAATTGTGAGTATTTCCTGAAATCTGTTACAGAAATCAAATGTTTACAATGTTTGAAGGTCCAGAAATAATACTAAAGGGAATGGTCTTTCTGTTTGTCCAGTAGAATGGACCAAGTCATTCTGCCAGCTCTTGCTCAGATGTCACAAGCATCAAAAAGATAACTGGCTAAATCAGAACCCAAAAATAAATTGGCTTATAGGGGATGGTATTGCTTTCTTGACCAAAACCTGTCACAGGCTGCCTGATGATAATACTACATCAAATTTACAGCTTTGGTCTTTGCTGTTTCTGTTTGATGAGAGCACTGATTTTTAAATTTTATTTTTTTTCTAAAACTAACATGAATTGATTTCTTTTAATGTGCCAGTAAAAAATCAGTTCCCTTTTCTTCCCCTGTTTATATGCATTACAACTGTGGATTCTGATGGACCAGCTATCAAACTTCAACTGCCCTCTGGCAGCGTGTAACTGGTTTACAAGCACACAGGACTAACATCAACTTGCTGTATAATGTTTCCTTTTTTCCAGCTCTGGCAGCTGTTCATGCAGGTGTTGGTTGTGGTATCTGAGTAATGTGGTGCTTGGCTACTTGGAGTTACACCCGGCCTCTTGGATACACAGCGCTGTGGTTAATTACTACAGCTTGTCTTTGGAGGGAGCATTTCTCCCTAGTCCTGAGAAACCAGCAAAATTGGAAGTTTTCACTAGATTAGTTTGGTTTTCCATGTTTGATGATGTTCTAGTGACCTTTGGGTGCAGTGGCTGTTCCCCTCCCTTGCACATATTGATTACCACAACTGGAGATCCTCAGATCTTTCAGCTGGCTAGGAGGGTTTTGTTAAAACTGTCCGAGTTACTGGTCTGTAGAATTGTATATAGGTGGTTTTACAATGCATTAGGAAGAAACACTAATGACGTAGCATCACGAGAAGCATTTCAAAAAGCACTTCAGTAGAAGACAGCCACGAGGCCTCGCGTCCGTGTGCGTGATGGCAGTCAGCTCTCCTGGACCAAACCACCTTCATGATACCATTGCATTCTGTGTTTGCGATTCAAGCTTAATTCCTTTTTTGTTCTGTTTGTTTCCATAGCTTTTTTTGTTGTGTTTTGTGCATTTTGAATAGCTTTATTCACATGGGTTTTTCATGCAGACTTCCCTTGGACAGTAAATCGAGTTGTTTGTGCATGTGAACAACTGAGAATTAATGTTGGCTTGATAGAGTCATAATATGGTTTGTAATGTTGTTCTTCCCTGAGACCACTGGCTTGTCTGGTATGGAAAATTTATTTAGAACTTCAGCTATGTTTGAATAAAGTTAAAGTAATCCAGTTTGTTTATAAATTAAACACAAAAGCCCACCCAGCCCTGAAAACCAGCATTTTGACGAATGGCACCGAGATGTTTCGATGCAGTGGGATAACGAGCTGGCGTCACCGAGGGGAGCAGGCGGCTGGGACTGCAGGGCTTGGCTGGGGGGCTCTCCTGGCTGGCATTGCAGAGTGCCCGTGGCAGAGGAGGTGGTTTGGCTGCAGGGAACACAATTGCTGTGCAAACACAGCCGTGGCACTGAATCAGGGGCTCCCTGGGGGGGATGATGAACCAGAGGTGGCAGCCGAGCACGGTGCAAGGTGTGGAGCCACCCTGTGTGATGCCCCTGCTCCTCCCAGCCGGTGCCCAGTGCTGTGTGGTTCCAGGTGCGGCCGCACTGATGCTCCTCTTGGTCTCTTAAAGGAAAGCAAACCCAGTTTGTGTAGGATGAGTGGTGACCAGAGGGAGCTGCTGTCAGGCCCTCTGGGAACTGCAGAGGGGTGTTGGGTACAATCCGAGTCTAAGTGAACAACACTCCTATTGTTGGTGTAACTCCATACATATATATCTATATATATACATATATATATCTGCATATGTATATCTATAATATAGATATATATATATTTAAACCCTTTTCATTCCATTAGTACAAGTAACACTTGTTTCCTGTTATTCTTATTTTGATTGTCAACCGTGTATTCAATCACTGGGCTGAACAACAGTGGAGGAAGGTGCAAGGGATCCACTCCTTACTAACCAGTGATAAAGCCAGATATTGCAACTTAACCCATGAGTAGATGTGCAGACAATTGTTGAAGAATGATGCGTAGAAACACCACGAGTGGCCAGGGGTGCTGAAGATACAGAACTCAAGTAGACAGGAGGGCTCTGAAGGACACCTCGATTCAGAAGTG